GGTTAATAAACCACGTATGAAGCCCTTCATGCAACGCAGCCTAAACAGCAAATTATTATCTAAACGCTTGAAAAGGATGTGCACAGAGGGCACCTCCAGAAGCGTATCCTGATCACGCACATCTATTCTTCCCCTTCCCACTGACTACGCATCTAAATCGTTATCATCTGAACACAATATTAATCCGATACCAAACATCAATATACGCATCTTAACATTATGCATAAGAGAGTACCTGAATCAGGCGTAACATAACGAAAAAGTTCTTCTGTGATTTGTCGTTTGTTGTTAATTGTGTATTCAAAACGCTAATCGAATGAACGTCGTGAGTGTGCGGCATTTGTTTCTTCGCTGCTCCCCTTGTCGTCTGGCGTCTCGGTGCACTTAACGCGGCCACGTTGCCAATTGGGGATCATAAGCCAGCGTGCAAGCTTCCGGGCTAACGCTGACCTCACCTGGTGACTTCTAGCGGCCCCGCCGTTACTATCGCTGCTGACGCATAGCCATGGCCACTTCTGACAACAGTCGTTCCATTATGGTCTGTTCGATGCGTTCTAGTGTGACCGATGAGAACAGCGAAGCATAGGAAAGGACTACATGGAGGGGTGCACCGTGGGCGAATTTACGTGGGCACAGAAAGTCATCCGAAATCCGACAAAGGCCCACGATGGAGCGGCTAAGGTTCCTCGTTCATTAGAATCGGCAGTAATAACGATAGTGAAGGTGTATTAGAGCGGAAGACAAAAAAATCAGAGCAACATTAACAGCAATAGCGGCGACCATCCCACCAGTAAGAAGCCTACGACAAATCATTACTACATGTTATCCCCTTTTGGTGGTTGCAGACTATAACAGATCAGCAAAATCGGCGTTTTGTTCCTGCGTGATTCATTCCATTTACTTGATCTGATCTTTATGGGGGTGATGAGAGCAATACGCGTCGGCCTGTTTCAGGCAGTAAGCAACCAATATAGACAAACGAATGACTTTCGACCCCCTGCACAGGGATGTCTGTACGTTGCTGGAAGTATCGGTTGTAACGCCATGCTGATCTATACCGTACCACAAAATGTGTTTTATTGACAAATGGAAAATTAGTTGTTTGGGCTCGTTCTATACAAAAGATCTTCAATCGATTTGATCTTCAAAGAGCGAGATTAGAATAGCTGTGTAATTATTTTCGTTTGACAAACACAAACTGTCGTCCGATTTCAACGAATACGCCTTAAAAAACAACAGGCATACCCGCTCTGAACCTGTAGATAGTCCCGGCCAAAGGAAAACCTCATATTATAAGGATCACTCAAATTGAAGTGGCCTAAGTTAAAGGCAAGTAAGAGGGAAAAGGCATACGGGATCACGGTTCGTGCTTATCAGAACAGAGGTCATACTGAAGTAAATTATAAATAACAGACCGTAATCCCTATTCGTTTTAGGCGCTTTCTAGCTAACAAAACTTCCTAAAAAAACAGTAGACGATTTTGTGAATGCTATTACTATTATCAATAAGTTCATATCTGAAGTTATCGACTCTGAATCTGCAGCCGAATCGACCTATGCGTGTGCGTATAGCAGCTGACAGCTGATTGTGGAATACTCCTAACGTCTGATCGACGCACGCGGTAAATTAAGGTTCGGAAAAACAAAACAGTTTTGGCCCTTGATCAAACTGTATCAAGCTAAAGTCTAGCTCAATTAAGTTTGATACGTCCGCTTCTATTTGTTACATTGATTGTGTCGACTGCTATCGGAAATAACATTATAAACATCTTCCTCGATTCAGAGCGCAGTGTACGGATTAACAAAGCTCCGCCTAAGACTACGTAATGCTCGTTTCTATCCAATCGTAACTATTCATTAATGATGATCGTGACAGATAACAAAGTAGCTTGACTAAACTGTTGTCGTACGAAATAACCGCAATTCTATAAGCTTATTTATAAATGGCTCGCTGTTTACCATCGATAACGACGGTGGACGGGAGCTGTTCAAGCCGCAAATCTTTCAATACAAACCGACTCTGATTTATTACAATATACAAATATCATCGAGAAGATAAACGCCTGTACATAACAGTTACTCTATTGATATTGTCAAACGGTTGATAATCGTGTACACAAATACCTATAGAAAAACGTGCTACGCAATAACGACGAAACGAGCACGCTCGTTTCGAACGTAGGAAGTGATTCATCTGTATACAATATGGAATAAAGAGCTCGTCAAGTCAATTAGTAAACAGGAATATAATTCAAATTATCAAGGTTATATGTAGCTAACATTCGCCACAATGCTTCAGCTACTACAAATATTCATAGCATACGTAGAAAAACTACTGATCCAATCTGTTTATCAAAAATGATGCCCGTGATTAACTATATAAACAAAATGAGGGGACTCTTTTAAATGTCACCGCTAAATGAACATCATTTTGGCGAGGGGTTCTGGCCGAGGCAGCAGAGCGAATACAGCGCAAACGTTCTTAAGGTCACTGTTTTGTTCCCGTCAAACTATCCTCAGCGATACTTCACAAAAACGGCTTGCGAATCCTATTCACGACAAGGCAGCAACGAGCGTCTGGCAGCGCTTGACCACAACAACAGCAACTTGCCCTAAAAATATTTGCCAATATCTCCTGCGCAAAGGGTACCTACTGCATAGTGTTACTTTACGTTTATGTGCACGCTCTTCTAGCTCCATCCAATTTAATGGTAGCGACGCCAACAGCAAACCGCAACTGAAGATAAGAAGCTTTCTTCACCAGACAGAATTGCATCTTCACGACTAGCATAAACCATATTAAGTAGTACTGCTACAGACAGGTAACAACTTCGGGGGGTGCTGGAGCTACATGTAGTATACACATTGTGAGGAACTGTTGGAGGGGCACGGTGAATGTTACTGTTGGCACGTGACCGCTTCAGCTGTCTACGATGCCACCTGTACAGATGATTAGAAGTATATTCACATTGGCAATTAACGGTTTGTTATAACGCTGCTGTTGTTGTTGTTACTATTACTTAGGTCTCCTTTCAGACAACGAACGAGACAAGGCAGTACATGTACCCCTCTTTGTTCGGCCCTATATTCTCACCCCTTTTTTATATAACGCTCTTTCTAACTAAAAAAATTATTTTCTCTTTAAATATAGTCCATCAAACCATTTGGCTAGATCAGGCATAGGATTGTCGATCTTTCTGGGGCTATATCTGTGCAAACGGACGCCCGATGTTTTCATCGTTAACGCCAGCTTTGCCTCTATTGAGAGGCAACGAACCTTGTCACAAGCAGCTTTCCAGGTTACTCCCAGTGGAGCGTGAAGACGTGAAAAGATTGTTCTATTGTTATTGCTATCCATAGTCATGATCGGACCTGAACCTAAACGTTAGACTAAGCTTCAAATCTAACTACGATTCTTTTATAATTCCCTTCATCCCTGATGAATTCCGTCGATGAGTATTTAGTTAGCACACTCCCTTGTTATTAGGATTTGACTGTTTGATCTAACAATGAAGTTAGGCTGTTCCTCATAATATTCGTTCCTGGTACGACACGACTATAAACGTAAATTAAGATATCGTCAGCTCTTCTGTTTCATTCTGTTTAATAGAAGTATTTTTGAGTGTTTGGCATAGAGATTTGTATTTCACACCTTAGTTCGTCAGAGGAACCGTAGAATCTAGAATCAAAACAGCGTTGGAAGTTGCCGTCCCTGCATAGAGGCAAGGATAACTTGGTACCTATGTGGCTTGTATATATTCTATGTTCGAAGAACTTTGGTAATCTGCCTTATTCACGTTAACTTTCGGAAGGAAACGCACACGATAATTTGCGTTTGACATGTGTGCGAAGAACCTCTAAAATTCTTCAGATGATTAGAATGAATGGTAGATTTTGGGTTCAGTTTAACTAAAGAGGATACTTTTCGCGATTGAAAGGGAACCTTCATGAGGTATTAATTTCTCAACCGTAATTACCTCACCATCTCAACCTATGTCATCACCTCATTTCCACTGAAGTCTTGAGTGATCACATTTATCGGGTCTAACGATCATCAAAAGGACCGTTTGTGTTTCCAAATATATTATTTTTTATAACCATGTAGCTTTTACCGGGTATCTAGTTCGACGATGATCATCGCCAGTTGCTTTTAGATCAGTTGACAAAGCCTTGGGTTGCTCATAACTACGCTAGGCTATTTTTTTAAAATCTAGTCCTTAACTTCAGTTTTGTTGCCTCAGTTTACATCGCTAATAATAACCTAGCATGCAATGATAGCGTAATCGATAGTGAATTTTTTGATTCAAGATAAATAATGCTTATGCGAAATACGTAGAAATGTTGAAATCTGCATCCCATAAGCTTTCAAAAATAGCTTCAGCTGCAAATCCTACGTATTGAGTCTCCAAAGCCACAGGGCTCTCAAATGCTTTTTTATACGTATACAAAGTTGCTCCTATATGGTTTTGGTTAATCGAGCTGTTATTTTCGACGGTCTTTATAACTTGTTTATACCGTTAAAAAAAATATGGATATGAGGAATAAACGGAGCTTATGAAAAATAGCTTCTACTGATTCGAGACTTGGCTTCTTTTGTGACTCTTCAATGAGTAGTTAGTGAATCCACACATTCTTTACCAAAAAACATTGTCTTGATATTTCCGTTATTAACCTATGCACAACTAGACACAACCCCGTATACTGGCGTGAAGATAAAATATGCTGGATGTAACACCGTATTTCACTGTTTATTGCTACACAAACGGCAACAAAGGACAAAAACTAGATAATATAGAAGAATAGTGATATTCGGTTTAGATCTCTGGACTCAAATCTTGTTCTATTTCCCAGGCACTATAACTAAATTGTCTCGTTTAATAACACGTAATAGTTATTGGTAATACGGAACACCTAACCTTCTTTCTTTCTTTCTTTCTTTATATTAAGAAAAATATCTAGCTGCTTTTTTTTATTGGTCATATGAATTCCGTGATACTAACCTGGAACTGAGCTTCGGAAGTGCCATGAAGAACGGATCCGAAACGTTCAAGTTTACTGGCGTTCATCCTAGGAGTCTGGTAAATGACTGCGTCCCCTAAACGCTCGAGGTCGGACGGGTGAAGAATCTCGGGTCGGCACATTGACCTAATTCCAAAGACCATTAATTTGTATATCGTTGTTCAGAATAATATACGCAGTAAATATAGATAATTAAAGAAGAAAGAAAACCATGGAAACAAACATAAAAACTTACTTTCCTTTTTTCAAACCCCCTTTGTTATTGCATTTACCTCATTGTATGCTAATAATCTGTAGTTATCATTTCTTAGTTTACGACATCGTATAATCTGCTGTATTATACCTATAACTTATATTTCTTTTCGAGACACTTTTTATGTATATATTTATATAGGTTTTTGTTCATCGAAAAGATAACAAGTTGTGGTTACATATTTATGTATAGTAGTATAAATCATACCCATGAGCAAAGCTAGGCCTCGGGTGATCGTACGCCTGATCAACTAACCTGGGTTGAGAAATGTGTAGTTCTGCCTTCCATGTCTTTTTTGATGAAGCTGCGCCGGTAGTAAGCTCCTTAATCATCTCTCGTTCCTTTGCTTTATGTTCTTTCTCATCTTTGATGTGCTCCTTATTACTTCCTCTCTTCAGTAGTTTTTTCAACCCAAATAAACCAGCTCGAGAAATCGACCCCCCAGTCGTACTTGCCGTGCGCGGTATTGTAGGCGGCTGCCGCGGTTTCCGGGACTGCGGAGAGCCCTGTATGTGCGAAGCACGAAACAATTTACATGACGAAGAGCTACCTAAAGATACAGATTCAGACTTTGTGCCATTTAGCAGTCTATTATAGTATCTGATTCACATGCGTTTGTTCACCTTGCGGAGTGAGGTCGCAATCGAGCGCAAGAACAATTGCAAGACAGTGCATCTTTTAGAACAAGCCAAAAATCTTCAATCTGTTTTTGATTTCGATTTGGATTCGAAAGAAATTAGAACAAGCAGTCTAGGGAAGCGACGTACCTGGTTAACTGAGTACGTAAACAAGGATTGCTGCTGCTGCGATCGCTGATGATTATGTTCAAACTGTCTACTGACCGGATCCCATTCACTAGCGTATTCTGCAATTGCAGGGGCAGATCGACGATTCGGCACGGAATGGTAACGTGCCTTTTCCAACTCAAGGGCAAGCTCTGCCAATTGGCGCTCCTTCCGTGACAGCGTCGCCGTACCTCGAATCTCCTGAAAGGTGTCATAATGATTCTTTTATAGTTAGTTACTAGACAAACGTCAAAATGTCTTCGTCTAAACTTAAGTTACGATGTTCAAAGGTCTTGTGCCACATTTAACATTCGAATATAAAGCGAACGCCTTGTTGCCCTCACCTGATAGATGTTCTCATTTGCCTGCTGCTGCTGCTGTTGTTGCTGCTTCTGCTGCTGCTGCTGCTGTTGCTGTTGCTGCTGCTGCTGTTGTTGCTGCTGCTGCTGCTGCTGCTGCTGCTGTTGCTGCATGCCTCCCCTAGCCCCGTCGCAATTAGTCTTCTGATCATCTAAGGACAATAGAGAATTCCCTTGTTCTAGGGGCTCAGCGTAGATGGGCTCTTGATCTAAAGGTTCCAGCCCTGCAGGAATTTTTGGGGCCGTGTATTTTTTCGCGGCGCGGTATGTACCGTAAATATCTTTCCGGTTAGGATACGGGTTAGGTGGTACCACGGGAGGTTGCACCTAAAATGAGCAAGAGGCATAGATGTAGCTCGTAAAACAGATATTACTATTTATCTATTGCTGTTAAGGTGATAGTCTTTTTGTATGTAACGTACCGGTTTTGCTTTTGCTGAATAACCGAGATATTTCGGATCTTCGTAGCAGCGCGAGGTGCGTCTTAAGGTTCCGTACTTCTCGGCCGAACGAGGCTCTACTTGAGCATAGCTGAAAGAAAATACACTTTCATTACTATCGCTCTATTCGAAATACAGTCATATCTGTTACTAAAAATGTATCGAAATGATGAGATTTTATTACAGCCACTATTAGGCTGCTAGATCAAGAGTACCGTCCAGAATTTAATATGAGGAATCACCTAGACCCGTTGTGCCTCGAGAGTTGCTATTATATGTGAAAAGTACGCTTCAATAGAGAAAGTTACGTTGAGGAAAAGAAAGTAGACCAAATTGTTAAAAATTATTGTTAAACTTGGAGTGCCGTTCTAGCATGGATATGTCGACTCAATATTGTGTACCTTTGATCGAGTGTGGCTGTGGACAGACTCTTAAGCTGTTTGTGGCTGTTATTCTGCGAGGCCCTATGCGCTACCGACAAAGACGACGATATTTGATCGAGATGCAGTTCACTAACGGCAGCGCGTCGTATTGGACCGCTATAACCGGATGTCGAGTCACGGGAACCTGTTGCTTGTACCTGGTAAGCGAGTTGCCGACGTCTACTTTATGTATTTTCTGACACAGAAATGATCAGCGACTCTAACCACTTCTATAATTCGATCGGTATTCAATAAGCTCGATTGTCCCGTTCTTCGCCTTTTTAAACCTCTTCTGTTCCTACAAACCCCCGAGATAATGGCTGTACCAACGTCCTTTATCAAAGCGCATATTTGAATTAAATCAATACCTTGTCTATTTCTAATCCTTAGCTTAACACCGGTTGATTCACTCCACAATAAATATATACGTTATTATAAAAAAGTGGCAATTTTCGTTACTTTTACTCACAGGAAAGTGCTACATATGAAAATTCGAAATTATCTTACGGCCTTCTAACGTTTTCGAAAAAGATTCACTGTCTAGTTATAACTGCGGCACACGATAAGATCACTGCATTTTCTAGTTACGAATTATTTGCATTTACATCCATTGGACCCTAACTGACCTGCGAATGATTGCTACGACTGTTATCCTTGATGCCGTCGAGCAAATCGGAGTCGCTGTGAGCGGGCTGAAGTTGTGTCGTCGTTTGGTTCACTCGCGAAGCAGAGCTGCCAAACGCGAACTCGCTAATTCGGAGAGTGTGCGTCGATACCTTCAACACAATTGACATAGACCGAACAGATCAGCCCCACTAAGTTTACATTTTCTACCTAAGTAAAAAAAACCTATATAGTCAAGTTACATATATTCCTTGCGTGCTAATAAAGAGCTTCTAGTGGCTGAACTCTGCTTACTTAGGTGGGCGAACATCTAGAGGAGTGAAGACTTTATTCAGAGTCAAGGATAAAACTGAGGGAAACATCATTATAAAAACTTCGAGATTGCCATAATTTCCATTGACGTTCTTAAGTTTATAGCAATGGTAAATTAAGCATTTGGACTTGTCAAAAGTCATCGATTTCTAAGAAGCCACGGAGTAATATTAGCTTTCGCGAATCACTAGATTTATGCGCTTCGTCGGCTAACAGGCTCGAATGTAATAATAATAATACAAGTTCACACTAAGCTTTGACAATATTTTAGTTGCTGCTTTCGTAAAAACTCCGTCTAGATTGACTTTGGATCCTTAGATGGATGGTAAGATCAATGAGAACAGGACAAAGAAAGGTCTCATTCTAGTTTAGGCCTGCATTATGATGGCAAAAGAAATTCCATTATATATGAAAAGCGCACGGGTTGCCGTAAAGGTTCGTTAGACGTTTAAGTCTTCCACGCTTCAATATTTAGGCCGTCACGGATGTTGAAACGTAGACCGCATACTGCATTTGTATGCATACGTACATGTATACATACATAGCGATACTTCTGCAGATTTGTCAAGTTAGCTTATCATTCAAGACCATTACGCGTAGCCCTATCAGCGTTTTAACACAACACAAGACACGTGATCTGGCGAAATCGGTTTTTTCAGAAAGAAAAAATCCAGTAAATTTGGCACGAGCAAGCTTAGAAACGCATTTCTAATGGTTCGGCTACTGTATAGATAACGAAAATACAAGAAATCGATTCATTGGCTCTGTAGATTTATCAGTTTATTACAAATCCTAGTAGTATCCTAGTAGTATAAACGAAAAGGCCAGCTATTACACTGATCCTCGATAGAGATGTGCTCTCTTCTTATTTCTAGTTTAGCTGATATTTAGTTTTGCTTCGCAGGTCTTTTGCACTGAATATCTGATAATAGATATGAAATGGGAGCCCACTAAAAGCACTATACTTTGCCAATGTGTGAACTTAGCTCGAACTTTATAATACATGAGTAAAGTAATGTCATTTGATAAAAGGTAGAAGAAAATGTTTTCCCATGCGACGTTCGCCTACGATCTTTCTGACGATTTATAGTACGTAAAGCATGCAAAGCACCACGCTGATAGTGAATAGTGCCGAGTTTAACGATTGCAGCTTTGAGAGGTAAATAAGGGTGCTCAAATCTTCAATACGTCACAAAATCTTGCAGGTGTTCTCACTTTAACTTTTCAGAATATCATGAGCATGTCTTATCGCAGAGCATGCATGTATGTTAAATATAAGCGCTCATACGCATATTACTGCAGCTCGTAATGACATATCAATAACAGATTTTTTTAAACAATTGTAAGATATGCAAAGCAACAATGCGTATGGTTAGCATATGCAGATATCAAACGGTAAAAGCAACAATTATTTATTATTAAATCGTGCGTCACTTCTTGTCCATGATAAACTTCGTTACGATATTTGAGCATTTCGCACGCAGTTGTGCACGCAGGCTCAGTTAACTTACGTTACGTAAGTGCGTAGACTAATGCTCACCTTATCCACTTGACGCTCCCGGTGAATGACTTCGTTCGAACATCCAGACGTAGGACGCAAAACAAAACCGCTCAAAGGACACTGGTTTTGTTCCTTGTCGTTTTGAGGAGTCCCGCCGTTACGTCCAATATTTAGCGAATTTTTAGTGCCACCGTTGTTCAAAGCGCTTGAATTTGTAGCGCCCTTATTGTTAACGGTGTTGCCTTGCACGAGTATGGTTGTCGCGTTGTTCGAAGCAACCACGGCGTCTGAATCGGTTCTGAGCACCACTCGGTGGCTGGCCTGTCGCACAGGGCGCTTCTCTGTAGAGGCATTGCATTGGACATCAGGACCATAAGGCAACAGGCCTAGAAAAATCACCGGGAAAGGACAGATAAAAACGAAAAAGTAAGCATGCGAGGGCAGGAAAGAAGGTAACAATACGATAGTTAAGAGACGAGGGCAAGGGAGAAGTACACCGAGACCCATGCCGTGTTTGCTTCCCAAATGGTCACTGAGCCCAGAGTGGGACCTGATACTACTCGCATGCTTTTCGACGTCAAGACCCGATTTTCAAGTAGGACATTGTATCCTTTTGCCATCTATATGTAAACGCTCTTCACTATGTTAAGAGAGTTACCGAATAGCAAGATTAGATGCAATCAAAATAGGGTGTTAGCTCGCGATTAGGGTGGCTCCACTAATTATCGGAGCTGAGGAACATAAATCAAGCATACCGACAACAATGATTACACTTTTACAATAATTAAATTAAGCTTTCCATAAAATGAGAGTTTTTACTTGAAGGAAAGGGTTCTACATACAGTTGGCCTAGCACCTTCGATACAGATCTATCAGTATGACACAGAAGGGCCTTAAGCGTTATCTTGCCGACAGCTAATGAATATATTTATTAAATGTATCAGTGTTGAATTTTCGACTTCTCTATTTTGAGGTGTAATGCCTGCGTATTCCAATTCAAGACTTTTTCTCTACTTACCAGCATGGGAGAGGTTGACTTCACCCCTTTCACTGCAGCTATTTCCAGAGTTTTGTGAGTTGTTCACAACTACGGTAGAAACGTGGGCAGCGCTGCTATTACTGGGATCGGCAATTGCAACGCTTGACGCTAATACACAGGCAGACGTCGCCGATTCGTCAGTGGTGTTTTGCGTTAGCGCGCGAGTCTCCACCGAGTCATAGATGGATTCGTACGCCGATGACTTCGAAGAACGCATCGAATCAGGCGATGCCGAATCACGCTCGGACCCTATCCATTCCGGAAATTTAAAATTTTATGTTAGATTTATTGTACGTTAAATCCGATCCGCCTGTTAAACGTTGATTCAAACTTCTAGGGAAGCATCTTCGAGTAAAAGAACTTCTACGAAATAGCCATGCAAATCATAAGAAACGACTGGAAAGACTTCTACTTTTGAACTGTGGCGTGCAGTGTTATACTTGAAGTAAGTGTAGCACATTCTAGTCTTGTAGAAACGGTTTACGTTCTAAATTTTACGATATATATGATATGCGCCTTTTGACATCTACCTGTATAGCTGAGATCCTAACCAGCATAACATGTTGGGGAAGTTTACAAAAATTGAGTTTTCCTGAAAGCTCTTACCTTTAAGTGACATACTGTCTGGACTCGATGAGCTTTCTCGAGAAGATGGTGCTCCACTATCAATAGAATCGCCTTTAGCATCCTCGATTAATAGATGTCGGGTCAAGCTGAGATCTTCAGCTGTAAGAACGTCTTTGCAACTGTCAAGATAACCGAACTCCTTATTGTCATGCGACCTCTGTATAATAGCTGTATTATTATTGGTATGACCGTTGTTGTTGTTGTTGCTCTTGTTGCCGTTGTGATTGTCTTCACCACGAGTTTTCGCTCGGTGCATTAATTGCAACCTTTTATCCAGTTCTTCCGTAACACTTCTAGTCAGATCGAGGTCGATTTCGAGTTCATCGAGGTTTCGCGAAAGCTTTATTGACTCACCGTTTCGTTCGGTAGACTCGTCCGGCGCTGGTTCGCTAGGGACCGCCTCATTATGGCTGATGTCTGTCGTGTTTTTAACTTCGTTTGATTTTACTTCGGTAGAATCGCTTGATCGTACTTTAGCTTCTGCCAAAGCGTTTTGTTGCTCCTTAAGCAGATTGGCATTAACTGAATTAAAATTGGTGTTTTTTCGTGTTAATTTCGTGAACTGACGGTCCTGTTCGGTCGAGTCTAATGCTTCAAGAAGACCCTCATCAAAGTCTTCCTCAGAGACATCCCATCCACCTGTAATTTAGTTTTCAGGTTAGATATTTCCTAAGATCATACTAACGCTCTGATGTCAACCACCTGCTGTGTCATCTCTGAAATAGAATCTACGTACGTACATACATGTGTAATAGTCAAAACAAATAAAAAAAAAAAACGACATTTCGTTCATAACCCCAACAGGGAGAAAACTAATGTACGAAGCGCACGGAATTAAGTAAAATCACAGCTGAAGCACTGCGATAACTGATGCACACCATGAACCTACGGTATAAATGATCAAATCTACGATGATTTCGTTACTGCTACGGTGATTCGTTAGGGTTCATCTGAGGACATCGTAAAACTGTGCAAGTGCCTATTTCTAGACGTTGAGTGATTTGAAAGCTAAGCCGATTTAGGCTTGATTTAGAGCTGCCACTGGCCAGCCGTTCGCCGGAATTTTCCCTTTAATCCTTGTCGGCAGATTCAATCTTCTGTACGAGGCCGACTTCGAACTTCTTAGGACAAGGTAATCGAAAGTAGAGAATAGGAGCTATACAAGAGTGATACATAATAATTAGTGGATCATTTCACGTATAAAAGATAGATTGGCTAAAATATTATGCTTTGCTAGACGTATCCACACGATGGGGTGCAGATTTCTATATATTTCAAGCCTTTAAACACAGACATTTCGGGAAATCAAAACCGAATGGTCGATTGTAGAACACCACTAAAGCGTTCAGTTCGAAGTTTGGTATACACTTTTTTTTTGACGTTTTCGCAAGTACACTGAATCAATACAGGGCGTCTCAAAAATCATTTGAATTTACTACGAGAATGTCTTCGGGAAGATCCCCCAAATTTGAAGATGTTGGAGATTTATCTCCAACAGGACGAAACACCTGCGCACTACCATTATGAATGCAAGAGCATATCCTTATCTTATAAACAGATGGGCTGGACCAACAAGCCCCATAAAATATTCTGTCCATTAGACAAGTTTCAAGTCAATGTACTTTTTTTTTTCGCAGGGACACATCAAGGATAAGGTTAACGCCAAAAAACTAGCAACATGGTAAGGGTTAAAAGCCGTAATCGAGCGAGAATGCGCCGCTATATCAAATTAAGTATTTATTGAAATTCATGAATCGATAGCCCGTCGTTGCCAGTAGTGTATGTATTAAAACGGTAATAGTTTTGCGCATCAGTGGCAGAGGAAGAGTTGCACATTTTTTTGTAGATTTTTTTGCAATTTCAACGTGAATTACACGTATCATAAAATAAAAACTGAAATTCTAACTAGTCAAACCGCATATGTATTTTTTTTTTGACATTTTATTGTCCTTTATCATGCAACAAAGCTATAATTGAAAGCGTATAGGTTATCTAAAAGAATCTAAAGAGTGCTTAACCTAGTCTCAGTTTCACTCCCTAATATTAGAAATATGCGCCTGGGCGGTCGCAACGAGATTGCAGAGATCAGACTATCACAAAATCATGCCAATCCAGGCGGTGATCTTAAGTCAGATGGAATCTTTGTCATTAAAAAGAAAAGGCTCTACTTTATTTATTATTAAAATGAAGCTGTACTTCTATTTAGGTAGAGGGGAGTTTATTATATTGTAGCTTTTGTTTGACCACAAAGCATGCATTTGAGATATTTGAAAATTTACGAAATCTATATCATACTGGCTTCAGTATATGTTTATCTAAGCTGGTTATGACTCTCAAGTGCATTATTTCAAAAAAACTTAGCAGTCTTTGGATTGATATTTCTTTACTAGGCTAACTTACCGTCGTCATCTTCGTCGGTTTCCGAAACATCATCTAAGCCTCCGTATCCAATCACTTGTTCCTCCTCCCGAAAAACGACACCTTTTTTTTTTCCAGGATCTTTACCTTCTTTAAGAATGCTCCTTACTAACTTAGGAGTCGGGTCAGTGCCGATCCGTTGAGACTTCGAGCCCCTCGTCACAATTCTTGCCGACGTCGTTTTCCCGGATAGTGCGTTTGATGGGTTTCCGGCTCCAAAGCATATTTCCATAACGTTGTTTTTCGTATGAGGGCCGTTTTCGACGCCGTTGGTGCTATTGTTGCTCAGCGCACTACCTCCGGCTATTTTATCTTCCGTAACCGTTTTACTTACCGGCACAGCCGTGGGAACCGCACGAGAGCCAGATTTCTGTATGGAGTTGATGCTGTTTTGGTTTAACGTCGTCATCACGGCGGATGTTATTCCAAACGCCGCTGATGACGCACCTTGAGGTGCGCTTAGTGGGGTTCTCATGCTATAGAGACAAGTTTGTATCAAAATAAAGTTGCATATTTATGATTATTAGAAAAAAAAAAAGGTGTTATCACTAAACAAGTAAAAATAGGCCAAACACGAATTTTTATTTTTGATTTCGAGCAGAATACACGACATAAACTGCATGTACGAGTGTTAGTCAAGAATCGTGTGAAAACACCAAGAAGCAGTCGCTCAGAGCAATTTATGTTTTACTTTAATTAGATGAGCGCTTTCTCATTGCCTTGCTAGCAAGCTGCTCAAATTAGCTCAACCCTGAACATAAGTTTATATATTACGTTTGTTGAAATTCGTGTAATACTTTTCTCAGCTACACTCGATAACGGCTTATCTTTCTCAGAGTTCTGTCACTATTTTTTACCAATTAAAACAGCTACATCAAAACAATCTTACATTTTCTATAAGGGCCCACTTTAGCCACCTCCATGGCCATAGTATCCTAAGATATGCCACGGCGATTTTTGGGGTGGGACACTACTCTAAATATTAAAGATTTTTTACAAGAATTTTTAATAAAGCTGGAGTACTAAACCAGCTTTAAAGTCTGGTATTACTTACCAGCGATATAGCTACTTAGCAACCTCAGTTACGGCCAATCTGATATCGTATGAGACAGCGGATAATTTGAAAAGTTGCCGCCATCTATGACTACTGCTACACATAGTTTTTATTTGTGTTACCGACCCCTATTGGTCAAAAGATTGTTAAAACCTATTTGAAGAAACCTTTCCACCAGCGACATATACTACAAAATTTGTGCGAATAAAGAATATTAAAAAAAAAAAAATTATTTTCTCTGAATTTCACTTACGGCTACTTAAAAAAATTTAAAGGCGCGAGTTGGTAAGCATCCGAAAACGTAGTCTAATTAATCCCATCTCAAATTAGCTATTCAGAATACGGCGATCCTAGTGACACTCAGGAAAAGTTCTCATTGACGATCTAAAATTGCATATAACAATCAATAGAGGTCTTACAGAAGGTGCAGGAAGTTTCCGGTGGTCGTCTGTAAAAGATGGTTGAGCTGGCGTAACTAATGTGAAGACCATGATTGGAAGTTCAAATCGTACAAGATTATGTATATCTCCCATAAGTAGACGCTGTAAGTAGGATGCTTGTCTTAGCTTTAAATGCAGCAGATCAACATTTTTGGTTTGCGAGGTGGAACTTAGAGTCGTGACAGCATGAACTTTGATATCTTTGATAACTTTGAATCTGATAATATTGAAACGCATTGTTTGGTATATATTTCTTTTATTGAGACTATTTGCCTGCTGATTTGTTTTGAATTTCCTAGCATTTATTGAAAAATAGGTTTCTTGAAGTAGTTATGACTGCATCGATTTGAACAGGTTTACGCCTGGTAACTAGTTGTAGGTCATGGTAAAGTTGCAAGAAGAAGACTTCAGAGAGCTGCTGTTTGCAAGGCACACATATGATGACATCCTGCAGCTAAAACTACCTTTTTGTGATTCTGCTACAAGAAAATAATGGAGCACACGCACGCGGATCAACTTGGCCTTGTGCCGAATAAAGACGAGATTTCAGACTCTTTGCCCATTATTCTTGTGACCACCACCATTCATATGGTGTTTTCTTTATTTAATTGTGTACTATCAATAAATTGCTAGCCGTGGTATCTGTGTCTACAAATAAAATCTAGCTTTATTCTTCGAGATGTGCTTTTTTAGAAGTTATCGCATCTTGGATATGATCAGGATATCTGTTTTACTTTGAAGGAGCATGATATGGTGTGAAAATATTGTTGCATAACAGTAAAGCAACTCCGCAGATTGTTCGATTGTTGGTAAGTTAAGCATTTCTTCGTCTAAAGAACTTTGGAGGCTGATATTTTTGGCAATACCTGAAATTGACCCCAGTGAGATAACTAGGTTCATTATCGCTACGGTATCTTCGAATGTATTTGTCGTTTCATATAAAAATAAGCCGAGATCTTATCGGCCATCGAATGACAATTGCCATTGTTGGCTACCCCTTTCAAACCAGTCCGCTAATAACTGGCCGAGGCACTGAAATGCGCGTAACTTCTCTAGAAAATGTCGTTCTCTTTAATTTTCGCTCAACTCTACCCAGCTCTACTCTACGACTTCTTATCATAGTATCTCTATTGCTCTGCTGCTACGAAATACTTACGCTATTTCATGCTCCGCTTCAGAGCGAAAGCAGTTCGAACAGAGATCCTTGCGCCAACTGTTTTCGATAAACGTATCACATATGAGTGATCCACCCGAGGACATCTTGCCAGAATTGGTCACCGCCTCGCAAAGATCGAACCACCATCAACAGCACCAATTGAGTTTTACTAAGGTCCCGAGGGAGCGTTAGCTTAGCGTCCCCGTCGAATCATCGTCTGCAATCGAAGAAACACTTATACCTGTTGATTTTTTTCGAAAAAAAAAAAAATGTTTATCGTTGCTAGAAGCATGCAACACTTATAACCAAAATTGCAACTACTTGGGGCATAAACAAAAAAAAAAAAATAATGTATCGACCTGAATGTCCATACAGTTAGGCTATACGCTAGGCCAGTAAAATCGCACCAGGAAGAAGCTAGTTTGGTTATCTTACCCAAAGCAGAGTGGATCAGGTAAGCATTGCCTTCCTATTCAATTTTCGGCCCATTGAAGTTCGGATCTTCGTTGCCATTACTTTACAAATAAAATCTTTCAAACTGTACATCTGCTAAGATGCTAGCACACGAGAGCTAAGCATACCGTTGGATTTCAAATATCGTTCGATTATTGTAGTCGAACGAAATGGCTGGGTAGCTGGTATCTATGGCGTGTTTCATCTTCGCTCTCTCGTTCCTAGTAGTACGGAGACACGTTTTGAGCCAATACATTGTATGCGTAATTTCCACAAGAGTTATATATTTGGGGGTACGCGTATGCGGAGCATAGTCATCGCAGATTACTATTCACTAGATGATACTGCATTGTTATGGCATCTTATAGAAAAAGTAAGCCTTACCATACGACTTGGAGGCAATATCAACTAGCAAAACATAACGTGGACGAAGATTATTTCTATAACTATCTATGCACATGTACTAGAAAGCATTCGCGATACACTAAAAAAGGAAAAAACATTCTAGGACAATGCTGAATGGGAAAGCGCCGTGCTTAATGTTCTTTTTTTCTTGAAACGTTCAGACTATCTTCGCTTCAAAACCCTTCAGAACTTTGAACCCATATTTGGCTAGGGTATTAAATTGGGATCTCTATCCTTCAATTACACGCTACGGTCTGGCTGACTAAATCGTAACATTTATCGTCTTTCGCGTGGCTGACGTCGTATAGCCGGTGACCGCTTGATGTCCAGAGAAAGTCGGCCGGCAAGAAAAGTTATTTCGACTATACCTCTGAACTAAATAAATGCGTATACACTTAAGTTACGAATGGTGCTAAGCTCAAGGAAGTTTTATGTTTCGCAATTTGGCTGTTTATTCGAACTTTCGTGAGTGTTTAAATCAAACGTTTTGTGACCCCAAGACGATATCATCCGTTTATCGGCGAAATCAAGCCGTAGTTGGCTTCTATATGTTGTAGTAAATAACAATACTACCGGTCAAGCAGAAATGCAGCTGACGACTTTTCGACAATGACTTTGTTTAGTATCGATTAAAGCTAACACCAGCAAAAACAACTTGTATATTTATCTGCAAGCCAAACACCTATAGTACAATTTAGCTGACTTTATAACTGGTCTGTGTATTTTTTAGCTATGAAATATACTTGGTTCCAGCCATTAGCTCTCACGTGACATTTTCAATAGAGCGGACAGCGGTCCCGTCCTCCTTCGTCCTGTCAGGCCCTGATTTCCTCCGATTCCGAAGGTAAAGCTCGATAGCCGCCAGTACGCTATCATTGTCACTTAAGCTAAACTAGGTTTCGTCTGATACATTCCGCATGACACGCTCAGTCGATCTTTATTATGGATAATTATTACTGGCATCATTGACAAGCAGTGACCAAGCCCTTTTTTTCCAGTTCTGTTGTAAAATGACGATTAATACAAGATTAATGGTAACCACAATATTCATATTGGACCCTAATTGGTAACTTTAAATATGGCAATGGCCTTTCTTTTGGGTTGGTCTGCTTACTTGAGTTCCAATAGCCCACGATCGAAACGGTTGATGTAGTCGATGATGAACAGACGTTTGGCTGAATGAATAGAGATATTGAAGCTAAGCTATTCAATTTGATTGTGGATTGTGAATCGCGTAACATTTTATCAATCAAAGCAGGATCAATACAAAATCGGCAAGATAAAAATGAAACGACCTGTACTCGTTATATCAGTACTTGCCTTTTCTATAAGACGGCTTGTCCGAGGGTTAAGTGGACGAGCAAGCCACCGCCCACTTAGTGACTTGACCACATACAGAAAAACAGTCAGACCCATGCATCAATGGAGTCGAACGAAGAGTCGACCCAAGGGTTCATAACTGCTATACGATGACAATACAACTGGGGGAACAGGAGAAAAGGGGGGAATTAGTCAAGTGCCGTATACAGATTGTTTCACCGACATCAAACCTCGTCTCTGCAACACCATTGTAATTTAAGAATAAATCTGATGACTACTGAATTTGAAGTTTTTTTTTTTTTTTTCGTGCTTGAATCTACTTGAGCTAACTTGATGACTCGATGTAAAATGATCAAGTCAGTGTACAATAACTCCGATACGTTCGATAACACAGGTATGAAAAAATCGACAGCTTACACTTGCCAGTGGAAACTTCAGAAACCTCGTAAGGTACTCTACATGATACTGCAAGTTACTTTGAAGAATAATTATCAAATGACAGTTCGGGGAATAGAATAGCTATTGATGACAAGAGAGCGTAAACGGAATTTCTGATTCATTAGTCGATCGTAGGAATCTGCTGTAAGGTCTCCTTGAGTCTGCTTAGATTTTCTAATTGTTTTTTTTTTGTTATATTAATGATCTGTTCAAATAAGTACTCACGGCGTAACTTTGAATTTGTTTTTTCAAAGTGAGATAAACGTAAAATATCACGGCGTTTCGATTTGTCGTAAACCGGTATCGCCAACCCTCTGGGGTAACTGTAATAGCCCATCAAATGACAAAAAACCTTACTTATGTGAATTATCTCTTTGACCTAATAATAGAAGTGTTTGTTTATTTAATGTGACCACTTGATCACCGTTCTGGGTATCTCTGAACGCCAGGCGTCAATGGAACACTATGTAGTTATGGATAAACTGCGAACAGATGATAAGCAAAAGTTTTCTCAGGAGAACAATAGGCGTTTAGCCGAAAGGTCGTGGACGAATGACCGTCAACTTCTGCGGTTTATAGAAGAGCTGCCGAAAAGCCTAGCAGCATGCCGCCTGGTATTGAAGAGACCAAAGTCATGCATAGGCAGCTCTTCGCGGGGTTCGATAACTGGCGAACAACAATATTAACTCCCTTATCACAGTAACAAGGGCGGACAAGACTGACTGGGGGCAAATTGATATTATTGTCCCGGCTAGTGGACGTTAGCCTAAGATCGTTTTAAAATAATTACGAATTTTCTTTCTGAAGAAAACATCGTGAAACACGCACCGTATAGTTTAATATCGAACGTTACAATGATTTTAAGACGCTACAAACTGCTGCCCTGTTGCATGCGCCAAAACCTTCCACGTTTCTAAAGAACCATTCAAAAGAAAGACTCACATCGTCGATATGAGCCTTCCTTTGAATGGGATCCGACGATTCTGGATGAAAGTACTGCCCACAGGCAGTCTTTTAATAACTAAGATGTAGTGGCTCGTTCTGCATCACTTGCAGGTCAAGCAAACAGATATTCTTGCTGGCCATTACTAAGCACATGTAGATATAAGTTCCAGCTTTAGATGTATGAACAGTTCTATTTTAGAAATTTTTTTACAACGCATACACGAAAGGGCAGAGTAAGATTTTTACTTATGTAGAACGTAGGCTCATGGATAGAGCCAGGTTCGTAGACGTTCTTCATATGTCAGTATGCAGATAGCAATAATTAAAGTGTAGTGGTTGGTTCACGATACGATAGCATCAAAGCACTAACTAATCAGTCACAATCGTTCACACGATGATCGAACTTTGGTGCAATTTTTCCCATTATCACCGTCAATTGATCTGCTGATAAGGCTTGCCATTGTATGTCTGTAGTTGTGTGTCCACTCCATCGAAACCGGTTTAACGTATTAATATATGACGATTACAATTGAGCTTACCAGCATTATAGGGCACAGAGTTGAAAGAGCGTCGCTTGTCAGGCCTCACGCCATGCCAGCAAACTGCATTGGCGACTTTCGCCGCGTAGTTGTGTTTCGAAAAGACACGTTGCCGAATTTAGAAGCAAGATAACTTTCTGACGATATACTTACGTAGGCTGAAACTAGAAATTGGACAGACAGTCGCATTTATGAGTACACAATTGACGTAACCTGGCCTAGACGCGGTGGCTAGCGTTACTTGTACACCAAGGGTCACCATCTTATACCTTATGAATCGTCCTACCTCGTGTCGCTTCGTCGAGAATGACTAGAGTAGCTACATGTTCAAACATTCAATTACAATATAGAATGCGTCTATTATTGGTGCAAGGCGATTTTTGCAGTGAAATATAAACGATATCTTAGAAAAAGAGAAGGTTACATGAATCAACTACGCCCATAGATAAATATTAGCAAGGAATTCTGTAGCACTCACGATGATGATTCACACGATAACGGCTGGTCTGTATGATTCCCTTATTGTGGACTTGGAAGCACATTCTAATAACAGTGATTTGGATACACTGTTGGTCATCAATAGCTGTTCTTCTAAATCCCATTTTGCAAAATATAAATTCACTTTTGGCCCTACCCTTTCTGCTATATATCGAGTTACAGTTCCCCGTTGTCCTGCTAATGACGGATAATTCTGTTCAGAACCTTACCTAGTCCTAGTAGTTACAGCGGCTGGATCAGAAAATGACATGCAAATGATTTGTTTTCGTTCACTTATTGTAATGCTTATCGTGTCTTGTAGAGTACATGAAGGCACTTTTATCAGAATCACGATGACTCCAACAGTCAGCCGCTGCTCCTCTTGTGCACTGAGGAACAAAGTCAAAAAAAAAAAAAAAAAAAAAAACACCGTTGGTCTCTTCATCGCCTGCTACTGATATTCGTAGCAGACAGCATCTGAAGAGTGTCAGTCGCTTGGACCGACCAATTGCCGTAAGTGTGGCTACGCAGACGACTATTATAATCCTGATTGTAATTGTGGCGGTGGTAATGTTAATTTTCAGTTATAACATTTGTCCATGTTTGTTGGCGCCGATTGTCGCGGTTCTCATTATGACTT